CAAACATTCACTTTGAGCTCTGGGAGTAATCTTAACAGTTTTGAAAGACTTCAGAATCCTGATCAATACAATGACCAATAACAATTTCAAAGGACTGGAAATAAAGTATGCTACCCACTCTTGACAGAGAGGTGATACCGACTTCAGGTACAGAATGAGACATATATTTTTGAACATGACTAATGTAGGAAACTGTTTTGCTCGACTGCATATTTTTATAAGGATTTTGTTTTCCTTCATTTATTTTTCTCAATAGGTAAGATAAGAGGCAGAGAAAATAGATTGTTAATTGAAAAAAAAATAAAATACATTTTTAAATGGTTCAGAAGAAGTCCAGAGAGTCAGAAGCAGGGAAAGGAGTAGAATTAACATGATTATAGCCTTCTTTAAAATGGAGGTTCCTGGAGGAATTAGCTTAGGAGAGGAAGGAGCTACAGGAATGGAAGGATCTCACTTTGGAGGTTGAGAAAACTGTATGCTCTTACCCTCAGTACTGAGCATGATCCTGGATTGGGATAAGAGGTCTGTGAGCCCATTATGTAGGTGATATAGTCAGGGGAGCCCAATTCAACAACACAACTTACTTCCATTAACAACACTATTACCTTACTTTTATGGTACCGGATCTCAAGACTGAAAGGACCTCTGCCCAGCCTCACAGCCCAGAGGTTCTCCTGGTAACAGCAGTGGAAGCAGGGGCAGCAAGTGGGTGGGCCTACAGGTACTGTGGTTGGCAGTTGTGGACGCCCAAGATCCCTGGGCACCCACCTGATCAGTCAAAGAGCAGGAGGGCACACAAAAAGCAGTGCCAGTGTCATAAGGTCTAGGTAACTGAGGATGTGATGAGTCAGAGGAGCTCCATAGCCACGAGGCAGTAGCAGAAATGGTGGCTTTGTGAGTCACAAGGGTCATACAATCTGAGGCTCCTGGAACTGTCACATCTGCCCTCCTGGAGCTCCTGGACGTGTGTCCTCTCATCTGCTGCATTTGAGGGACTTATTGGGCCTGTGGCAGATAACTGCCACTGAACGGAGTATTTAGACTAAAAATGCCAATTATAATTTCACCTTCAAGAACTAAAAGAAATTCTTAACAATCATGTTTTCCCCTAATTTCTCCTCTCCATGCCTTTCCAGTAACAGGCATGTAATACATGCAACTCAATTTTTTTACCTAAATGTTTCCTGTATCCTGATTTTTCCTCAACAGTATTTTGCCTGAAATAATGATATTTTATAAGAACAATATGATTAACTATGGTTCATTGTTTTTTAATATCATGGTTTAACACTTTTTAATGTAGTGTTTTGAAGGTCTGGCTCTAAGTTCAATTTATTTTAATACTCAGTTTTCACATCACAGCAGAAAGATACCTCACAAAGGTACACAGATGCAAATGGAAGACCTGCATCATTAACTTTACTCAATAGACATTCAGTTTTCAATCCCATTCACCAACTATGCAAAGGTTTTAGCTGAATTTCAGCTAGCAAGTTATCAATTCATGCAAACTAATCAGAAGGTGTTATACTTTTCCGTTTATAACAAATGGGTTCAAGATCCACTAAAACTCTTTATTTAGATTTTTTTAAGGTTAGAAAATTCTATTTCCAAGATTTTTTTAAGTGTTCAGATATCAGAATTTTTATAATCAATCTATCTTCCTTATATGGGGCAATAAAAAAAATCACCTAAAGATGGAAACATTTCTAAACATCCATTTTCAGAATACTCTCTCCATAGAACATTTCTCTCAAAAAGCAGTTACTTCCTCATTCATTATAACATCATCTTTACTTTGAAGGCACAGATTGTGTGCTCTTTTTTTTAAATATCTGCTAGGTTACACACTAGTGATGGACACTTGCTATCACAGTAAAGTTTGGCAAATTTGGAACACTATTTCTTCTTATAAAAAATGTGAAATCCATCTTTAAGTTGGCTGACTTTGCCACAAGATAACCAGCAAATTTCTATTATTAATTCCATCTCACTTCTGGCCAGATATGATTAGATCTACATTGTTTTTAATCCCAAGTCATAGCTGACAAAGATTTATATTAGGAGTAGAAATGTCAATTATGCCATCTTATTTTTGCCCTCTTATGTTCATATTATTAATGCTATCTTCTGTATGTGATTTTTACAGGTACCTTTTTAGGATTCCTATCCATTTTATGAGGGTTCATTTAGTTAAAAATGTCTCATAAAATCCACAAATCTATTTAACCTGCAACACATCCAATTGTGTCCTTGAACTAGCTCATATCTGCTCAACAAAGCCAACTGTTAAATTTTCAGTGTGAGCATTTACACTTTGGAAACTGACAAATCAGGAATTGATTTATTGTTTTGATGATTCTCTAGATTAAAGAAAGTGATGGAGAAAAAGTTAATAATGCAAATTAAACTTTAAAATGTGTCATGCATGCATTTTTTCCAGAAAGTCAGTTGTTCAGCATTCACCACCACACACCTAAATATATCACAATACACTGGAAGCAGCAAACAAGTAAGGATAGCACTACAAAACCTCAGTATTAGAGAATTCTGACTCTTCCTTCAGGATACCTCATGTATTATATGTGACAGCATAACATATGGACAGACTTAGGGCACTGATATCAATCCATATTGTGCCCTTGTCACTAAGACTTTTGGGATACCTTGTACTAGTAAAGCTTAATTTATTTCTTATTTTTTAGATTAAAAAAATAAAAATAGTTCTGTTATGTTCTTCCTAGTTTCCCACCTGCACCATGGTCTTGAGCACCCCACTTTGGAGACGTTTCATTTTTAGGTGGATTCCCAAATCAATCTCTCAATCTCATGGGAAAATCAGGGAGAGCATAAACCAATCCACACAGGTTTAGTGCGTTTGTACTTCAAAATATACCCAGTTCTGTTCCACAAAATGGAGGGATGATTCATTTATCTAATTTATCCTTCTTCCTCTCTGGGAGGCAGATGGGATCAGCCCACTCTGCTGCGTCACTTTTGTGAATATAAGTAGGCCAAGCTGTTCAGAAAGAAACAGCTCTCTTTGTAAGTTAAAGATTCACTTTTTAGAGAAAACTTCTGCAATTGTCATGAATTACATGTACTAACTAGCAATGAAGAATCAATTCAGCCAGTCTACTTTCTAAACTGAAAGGGAGTTCTCAAAGAGAATGAGTGTTATTGCAAAAAGTTAAAGCAGCTAGGTGACACAGTGGATAGAGCACTGGCCTTGGAGGACCTGAGCTCAAATCTAGCCTCAGACACTTATTAGCTGTGTGACCCCGGGCAAGTCATTTAACCTCACTTGGCAGAGACAGAGACATACCCAGACACAGACCCAGACACAGAGAGACAGAGAGAGACAGAGAGAGATTGCAGAAAGGGTAAGGAAGAAAGTTGCACTATCCTCCTGACTTTTCCTTTTAGGACCAAAGTATTTGATTTCACATTTATAGTTTCTGGTGCCATAACAGGCTCAGAATCCAACTTCTCCACGCATGTAGTTGGTAAAAATTGTTCTTTCTTACATTTGGCATAAGGACCTAAGCAGGACTGGTCTAAGGCAAAAATGTGGAGTTAGCAAAGGTGGTTTTCAGCAGCCTCACTTTTCTCCTTTTGTTGGCATCCCTCACAGATAAGTGATCTATGAGCCTTAAATTTGTTCCACCTTGTTTCTACCAAAATCAGCAGCTCTCACTAAAGGATCTGATGATCTCATTCACACTAAGGAGTTAATGATCAATAATAAAGTGATGTATCACCCCATCTAGGGATGGCCACTGTGGTGTGGTGGAAAGGACACTAGAATAGGAATCAGCAGACCCAGGATCTAGTCTTGGCTCTGTCAATGAGAAAGTCACTTTCTCATTCTGGGCCTTGGTTTCTTTACCTGTAAGGTAAGGGAGATTGTACTAGATGTAGTTCTGTCTAGTTCTAAAAATCTATCATTCCACCTATTCAGGAAATTTTGAGGAAAATAAAGGTATGAAATACAGAAACTAATGATAAAATAGATACCGTGACTCTTTGAATATAAAAAAAGACAGAGTAGGGGTAATGGCTTGATCCAAAGAAATAATTTTCTAATAGAAGCATTTCCGGGCTCAGCAACAGGCTATGGTAGAGAGGGGAGGGAGGAGAGATCATTTTTTGGAGGACCTACCTGGGATTTTCCAATGGTAGACTTGAAATGACTGACTGTGCTACACACATACATACATACATACATACGTACGTACATTTATTTACATATAAAAATACACATACTATATATATAATATATATTTTATATGTGTGTATAGATATTTACATGCATATATGTACATATACATATATGTGTATGTGTATATGTATAGATATAGATAGATATAGTTAATACTCTACCTGGGCAGCTAAATGTCACAGTGGATAGAACACAGGCCTGGAATCAGGAAGAACTGAGTTTAAATGCAGCCTCAGACACTTACTAGCTGTGTGACCCTGGTTAAGTCAGTTAACCCTGTCTGCCTCAGTTTCTTCATCTGTAAAATGAGCTGGAGAAGGAAATGGCAAAGTACTTATTTTTACCAAGAAAATCCCAAAGGGTGTTATAGAGAGTCGGACACAACTGAACAACAACAGAAATCCTGTATCTAAATATCATATCATGGTATCTGATTAGATGTGTGTGTTCATGTGTGTATACACTTAGATGATCAAATGCATGTTCTGTGACAAGTTACAGGTTTATAAGTAGTCTCTACTAGAAATGATTACTTAAAAAAAACAGATTTACTGATAGTCAAACATAATTATATTTAAAGTAAAATTTATTATTTTTATCTACAAGTTCCCAATAGCCTCTAAGAGTTTATTTTTTAAGTGCAATTATTATTCCACCACTAGGAAATACACTATGAATGTGGTAATAGCAGATATATTTTGCTCCCTCAGCTTCAAGTTCAGCCAAGTACTTGTTTATGCATCATTGCATCCATTAAAACATTTCCTTCTTCTTACAGCTGATCAAGCGGACCCATGCAAATTCATGGCCTGTGATGAATTTTCACAGTGCATAAAGAATGAATGGACAAAAGAGGCCAACTGCCTTTGTAAGCCAGGCTACATCAGCCAAGATGGACTGCCCTGTCAAAGCCTGTGCAACGTGGATCCAGGCCGTTGTGTGAACGGAGGAAAATGTGAACTGGTTCCAGGAAAGGGAGCTGTTTGTAGGTAGGCAAATCAATTGAATTGAACACATTGTACTGGAAATCTGGACTTTTGAGAAACCCACTGTCCAGAGCAATTAATGTAGCATTCCCTGTCAGCCTTTCAGCAATACTTGCTGCATCCCAATGACCAAAGATTTCAGGCCAGTTTCAGAAAGTTGTATTGTAAATTATAAAGCAAACTTCTTTTTTTAAAGAAAGCAAAGTTGCAGGATTATAACTTATTTTTATATTCAGAAAGTTCAAGTAGTTAAATACACCAAAGTGGAGAATGGAAAGGGCACTCCATACCAGACCTGTTTGCTTGACTGACTCTGGGCCCCAGTCCCCACATTATCCTCTTAGTGAGGACTAACACTGTGCCCTTCTCTGGACCTTTATTTCTTACACAAGATACATTACTGAAACATTTCTAGAAATTGCTTACATTTTTCCTCTTACAAATTAAAACATCACCTTTGTTTCCCCTTAGGTTGGAAGCCAAGAAATAGAGTAAGGATATAATATTTGTGAATAAAGATTTTTTATTCTGATATTAAGTGATATAAATAAGATTGTGGAGGGTATTTTGATAGTTTAAAAACATTTTTTCCCTCGAAAGTAAGATTGTCTTAAATTCAATTCTGTCTTATATTTAGGTCAAATGAGAAAAGCCCTGGATGTGGAGCCAGTGGATCTGGTTTTTAATCTCAGCTCTACTATTTACAGTACTCTGTGACCTTGGAGAGCTCAGTCCACCATTTTAAGTCTCTATTTCTTCATCAATAAGATGTAAGGGGCGAGGAAATAATATTTGTAGACTAAATTTACTTTTAAATCAATTATGGGGAAAGCAAGAGACATCTTTACTGTTATAATGATATCAAACTATATGACTTGAATTCAGTCAGCAACATTAGTAAGAACAGAATAGTGGCGCAGTGGATAGAGCTTCAAGCCTTCAAGTAGGAAGACCCAAGTTCAAATATGACCTCAGACACTTTCTAGTTCTGTGACTCTAGGTAAGTCACTTAACCCCATTTGCCTCAGTTTTCTAATCTGTAGAATGAGCTGGAGAAGGAAATGGCAAACCATTCCAGTACCTTTACCCAAAATGAGATCACAAAGAATTGGAAACAACTGAACAATAACAATCTCCCTTACAAATCTGAGTTATGATATTTTCATTCTAAAAGATCCAGTCTCTGAACTCTCAAACTCAGAAATTTAAACTTAGGTTTACCCATGCATGTAGTCACTCCAAAGATGGTGCTCCCCAGGAAAGTTCCCTTCTTGGCTATAAGATTAGATCCTGGGGCCAGCTAGGTGGCAGAGTGGATAGAGCACTGGCTCTGGAGTCTGGAGCACCTGAGTTCAAATCCAGCCTCAGACACTTGACATTTACAAGCTGTGTGACCCTGGGCAAGTCACTTAACCCTGCTTGCCTCCTTGGGGAAAAAAAAGGTAGTTTTTTAAGAGACAGCAAAGTGGCGCAGTGGAATGAGCTCTGGCCTTGGAGTTGGAAGGACCTGAGTTCAAATTTGGCCTCAGACACTTACTAGCAGTGTGACCTTGGTCAAGTCACCTAACCCCAATTGCCTCACTCAACAACAAAAAAATTAGATGTGAGACTCTCACTCCCACCTGCAGAAGAGATTTAGGTTTAGGAACAGTGGCCTTGATCTCCCCTCTACAGTTTCATGCAAACACATGTTTATACATGTGCACACACAGAGCAATAATAGTGATTTATCATGGAAGCAGAATACCATAGGAGATGTGCTTATACAAAGCCTTAAGGGAAGTTTAAGGACCATATTCTTGAATCCCAACCTACTATGTAGATAGGAGAGGGAGGAATTCCACCCCAAGTTTCCCCACCCCCACTTTCTGCACTCTGGAAGAAGACAATGACTGTGTTCTCCAGCTTGCTTTGTAGACCACAAGGAAGGGTAGCTGATCCTCAATCATCCAATCAGTAGGATTCCCTGTGTCCTATCCCTTGGTTTAAAACCATCTTTACCCCAGACATTTTTAGCCCTGCCATTTTTGCTGCTGCTACTTTACCCTGAAGACCACTGAGGTCTATGACTGGGAAGAGCTAAGCCACTCAGCTCAGTGCTCTCTAAGACCATGCATCCTCAGCTTTAGCAATTTTCCAAACTTTACTGTACCCTCCTTGCCTGTTTTCCTGCTTTCCACTTGGATAGAGTGCTAGTTAGGCTTGAAGTCAGGAAGATGTGAGTTCAAATCTAGCCTTAGTCACTCACTAGCTATATAACTCTGGACAAGCCACTTAATCTCTCTCTGTCTCAGTTACCTCAAATGTAAAATGAGAATAATGATAGCATCTACCTTGCAAGGTTGTTGTGAGGATCAAACAAAACAATATTTGTAAAAGAACTTCACACAGTGATTGGCATATAGTAGCTTATATAAATGTTCATTCTCTTCCTTTCCCATTCCCCTTCTACCTCTTATCCTAAAACTGTAATCAATTCACCACTATCGTTACCTCTAGAAAGAGTGCATTAATAAATTGCATTGTTCCAGTCAATATCATTGTGACTTCCCTGACCATAAATCCTTTCCCTAGCCACCACTCCACATATACATTGTCTCTTCCATTAGAATATGAGCTCTTTGATGGCAGGTATTGCTTCAATTTAGGATAATTAGTTCATTTTAAACTAAAGAGCAATACAATAGCCCCTAATATCTACATTAGTTCCTCCCTCTGCTGCTTTAAGGAGTTTATTTTAGATTAAAAGTTATTAATCCTATTAAAATTGCTCCTAGAACCCACTTCAGGAAATTCATAACATTTACATAGTAGTTGGGCTCTCTGCCTAAATTTGTATTTGTTTCTCTATTTAACTCCTCTTTTAGAGGAGGAAATCTGTGGATAGACAGGCATCAGGAAGGGAAGCTGGGGAAAGGGGCAGACCTTTTCTCAAGAATTCTCTCAGTCCTTGAGGAGGTGGGTACATTGGTGAGTTCAGCCTGGGTTTTCTGCTCCAAGATACCTAGAGAGAAAAAGGTCCTCCTCAATATCTACCTTGTCAGTCACAATTCAGTCTACATTCCCTTCCTCTTTCACTGATTGACCTGGGTCTTCTAGCTCTTGGCTCAGCTCTATGATCTTGCTACTTCTTCTCTGCTTCCAGAACTTAGAAGTCTTTATGTGGTTCTAAGAGTTTTTTTCTTTTATACAAATTCTTTAGATCATGACCAAGTCTCTCACTGATGGCCTTGATAGATTTAAGAAGGTATATAAGCCCTGTTCATACCCTATTCTTATTGATTGATTCAAACTAAAAATATTTTTATCTAACGAAAATAATTACTTTTAGGTAGATGGGATAATCAGTAGACTCTGACATTTCTCCAAAAAGAAAACTGAATTTACACAAAAGAGTAAGATGTGGTACTGAGGTCAGATTCAGGAGAGTGGTTTGAGTGTGAAAGAATTCACTTTTAGCCATTGGGAGCTTTATTTAATATGTAAACACATGGGCCCTTTTAGCAAGAAAGCTAAGTAAGGCCCTGATATTTGGGAGAACCAGGCTTATATAGAGGTTTCAGAATGATGATGTAATTTTAGGATTTTTTATGGGGGTTAAAGATTAAGGACAGGATAAGGATGAACAGGATGAGGAAGAAGGTTGCTTACAAGATAAGGAGCAATTTTTATGACACAGGATGAGGAAGCAACCCTTAATATTCTTTTTGAATATTTATGGCATCATACTATATCCACATCATTTGGCCACTTTCTGGCTATTCTCTCTGCATTCTCCCCATCCTCACCCCAATTAGTTAGCATTTATTAAACACTTACTATGTGTAGCCTGTGTTAACTACTGGGATACAAAGACAAACCTGAAACAGTCTGTCAAGAAGCTTACGTTCCTCAGAGAAGAAAGGAAAAACAGAACATGGAATATTTTCCAAGGTGGTGTTTATCAGATAATTTTCTATTTGTATAATTGGGTTGAGTAGCTAAGTCAATTAAAATTGTAAACAGCAGTGGAAGGGATATGTTTGATTCAACCAACATAATTACTGTGCATATTTATTCTGATCCACAAAGGTAATTCTGCCCTTCACCTGTCATGCCTTCATTGACCATCAAAATCAGTTATTCCTTGTGTCACTCTGACACTGGAAGTAGGTCATTTAGGTTTTTCTCTTGCCCTCCTCACCCCAAAACCTTTGTTCATTTCTTTAACTCATATCCCAAGACTAATTCCTTAGCTGTCTACTCATTTTGGGCCAGAGAGAGCTGCAGAAATGGCAATCTTAATCTCACATCCATATCATGTTAAGTCAAGGGATGATTCTGAATTGCTACGGTTATGATCTCATTTGACTATAATATACAGAGTATCCCAAAGTCTTAGTTCAGCTTTAAGCCATAATTGCTTAAAACCGAACTAAGATTTTTAGGATTCTGTGTCAATAGTTCAATAAAAAAGAATTTCTATAATTCTGAAAATTTTACTTAAATGGCTATGATCTAGGAGATTTCAGTGTTAACAGAAAACATAGGCTTATGAGGAAAAATTAAGATATCTCTCAACTTATACCAGAAATCTAAACTTATTGGAAAATAAGTTTGAGGAAACTGAGTATGATTTCACCACATTTTTAAATACATAAACTCCTAGGATTTTAGAGTTGTGTCATCTAGTACAATCCCTTCATTTTACAGATAAGAAAACCCAGAGATGATAGGTGTCTGGCCAAAGGCCACAGAGTATTGGATTCTGTGTCAACTTAAAGGAAAGAACTAGTAAAATCCTGTTGGAATGAGTGCCCTTGGGCAAAGTTGTGTCTGTTTTCACAGAATAGGCTACTTAGGTTGATTTATCTAGTTCTGATTCTATTGCAAAGTATTGTATTTCTTAACCTTTGTATTTTTTCCTCAAACCTTGTTCAGCACGAATTTAGCATTAAATATTTATGAATATACTTTATACATTTTTCACTTGCCTCGTTGTAGATGTCCTGTACACAGACACAGGCTGCGCAAGGATTGTACTGGTAAAATTCCCTCCAGAATCAGCAAATTCCTTCATTTTCAGAGTGCCTCATTTTGGATTAGATGATCTGGACTCCCTTTCTCCCCACCATCTTTCTGATCATTAGGCAAAAGAAAGAATGAAAAAGCTCATCTGATTTGCACTAAAGCATTTATACTTTTCCCCAGACAAACATGTTAAATTTTGTCCTTGAATTCTGCAGTGTTGATATTTTTATGCGCAAAATGTTCTCCATTGTTGAGATGCTCTCAGTAACCGTAAACTGGGAACCTGCCATTAACTCACAACACACACCCCCCTTTTTAGCATGTTGACTTTCACACTTCTCCCTCCAGTGGCCTCATGTCAATCCTAGAGAGATTAGTAGTCATGGAACATTACACAAACACAAAATCTCATTAGCACACATTTCCTCCCAGCTTAAAGGACAGGTACCCCCAAAGTGATACCACTCTCCGTTTTCATGTGCCCCCATTCACTTCACAACTAAATTGGTGTGAAGCTTCTTCAGTCTCCTTCCAATCTCAGCTTTGGAGCTAAAACTACCAATTTGTCCAAGTCACTGACCTTCCTGTATCTGTTAACAGTTAGATTTCAAAAAAACATGAGAACAGAAATATTTCCTCTCAGAACAGCTGAGAAAGCTGGACATGGCTTGGAAAACTATCTTGATTCTCTAAATTTTAATCAAGAAAGAGTTAACCAACCATACCCTTGCCATTTTTTTTGTAGGTCACCAGATCATTCTTTGATACCAGAATTGACAAGTTAGGATCAGGAATGCTGAATTTCAAGCAACAACAAGAGAACAAGGTACAATCACACCTGTTGGATTTAATTATGATATTTTGTATTCTGTGGTTGACTTGGAACTTTATCTGTGTTTGTATCATTTTATTGAGAGGTAAATAAATACACCTTCCTTTGCTAACTAGGTCTTCCTATGCAACCATGCTTTTTTTTTTTTAACCTGGACTTCAATGTCTCTGGAGTCAGGAATCAAGGTAAGAAAATTGCCTCCATCAACAGAGAACAGCTATTCTGCAATTTATCATCTTAGAGAGTTCCCTAGGGCATAAATAGTTTAAATGACTTGCTCAGGACCACACACCACTGTATCAGAGGCAGAATTTGTATATAAGTCTTCCTAACTCAAAAACAAAGTCTTAATCTAAAACTAAGCTTCACACACACACACACACACACACACACACACACACACACACACACACACAAAACCACCACTACCACTACCTCAGGAAGGTAAATGAAAGCCTGTTTTATTGGGGAAATCAATAAACAAACATTTATTATTGTCTACTTTGTGTCTGACACTATATTAACTTAAGGCAAAAACAAAAAAGCCCCTCAATACACTTTATTGAGGAAACAACATTGGCATATATCAGTAGACATGAAATATAAACGTAAAGTAATTTGGTTGAGGGAGGGACTAGACATTGGGAGATTAGGAAAGGCCTCTTGTAGGAGCTGGTTTGAATGGAGTATTTTGAGATTCTTGCCAGTTGCCAAATCTTGCCCTTTCACTTTCACAAGGTCTCTTATATTCAACCCCTTCTCTACACTCACACAGCTACCACCTTAGCTCAGATCCTCATCACTTCTCACCTAGATTATTGCAACAAGTTCCTAACTGAGCTCCCTACCTTAAGTCTGTCACAACTCCAATCCATTTTACACATTGCTGCTAAAAATAACTTCCCTTAAGCTTAAAACTGACCAAGTGGATCCCCTACACAATCAACTCTGGTAGCTTCCTATTACCTCTAAAATAAAATACAAATTTTTCTGTTTAGCTTTTAAAACCCTTCGTCATATGCTACTCCCATCTTCTTTTCTTTCAACTTCCTTGGATATTAAGCCCCCCCCCCTCCTGCTTTCTGAATCCAACCAGACAGGTGTTCTACCTATTGCTCACACAGACCTTCCATCACCATGGCTTTACACTGGCTAACCCAAACACTGAAAGTAATTCCCTCTTACCTCTGTCCCATTAGAGTCTCTCTCTTCCTTGAAGACTCAGCTCAAGCACCATGCCTTTCTTCACCTCTTCATCTTTATCTGCTAGTCCTTTTCCAAACAATTTTATATTTAACTATTTGGGATGTGTATATGTACATATGCACGTTTGTGTGTGTGTATATATATATATATATATATATATATATATATATATATATATATATATTTTATTCATGTTGTATGTATTCTTATATGTACTTATCTCCTCCTTAGAATGTAAACTTTTTGAGAGTAGGGATTGTTTCATTTTTTACACTTGGATCCTCAACTGCACAGTGCCTAGCACATAGTAGGAACTTAATACTTACTGATTAATTGATTGATTGAATGGTCTTGATGCATGAGTAGCTCCTCTCAGGGATGACTTTTGGGGCTGCTCATTGTGAAGGGAAGACTCTCCTGTACCTTGATGCCACCTCAGCTGGGCTTGGAGTGGTCTTTGTAGCACTCATACTTCCAACGAGGTTGCCCTGGACAGAAGGCAGCTTGGAGCTATCTGTTACATCATTGGGACTGCAAGGGACACTCTCCTTAGATAAGATCTCCTGCAGGATTCGTTTCTCACATTCATTTGATAGCATTCCTGCCTAGGAAGATGAGGGATGAGGTAGGGAAGGGTAGATTAGGGATACTTGCAGTCTGCATCACTAATGTTGTGGCTTAAATGGGGATACTCCTCCCATCTACCTTGCCAAAGATTTTGATCTTGTTCACTTTAAATCACTTATCTCATCCACTTCAAGCAAAAGTATTCCCCTTTTCAAGCCATACCCACTTCCATTTCTACGCTTTTGCTTTAACTGGCTTAGATTCCCAGGATTCTTTACTGGCTTTGTATACAGCACTCTTACCTCAGTAGAACTATGGAATTTCAATGGTGTTACTATTTCAGGGGTTACTAGGGGCTCTCTGTTCATAAACTGATTGAGGGTGGGGAATGTTAATCTAGTTAAGACTTTAGCTCGGTCCTTTTTTTTCTCATTCAAAGTATCTTGGCAGCTGTGAATGACATCTTTTGTCCTCTCAATGTATTCATTTGAAGGACAGTTCTCTCTCTGGTCATCTTAACAGTCTGTCTCTCCTTCACATTTTATCTCAGATGAGGTATTTGAAATCTAGGAAGGTTAAGTGATTTGGCCACCATCACACAGATAGTAAGCTTCAGAGGCATCTAACTCTAGTGTCTTTTCCCACTACACTAAGCTACCTAATATATGCAAGAGAGTGTTTAGGAAGATACAGCAGAGCACCATCTTTAAAGACTCCTTCACCAGAGTAAAGATCTTGGTGATTTTGTCTGGACCTTTCCACCATGAGCCAAGAGGCTTTACCACGTCTGTGAGGAGCTCTTTGGGGTCAGTGGAGCCTGAGTCTATAGTGGTAACATTATTCAATGTTTTTTTTTTTCCATGTAAGCACCTCAGGCAGGTAATAGGAGGATCGGCATAACTGGATAAAATAAAGCAACCAACTAGAATCCAAAGCTTAGTTACTTGGGAAGCAAGTAATAAAAAAAAAATGTAAATAAATCCAGCTCTCCCTTCCCTCTTCCCCTCCTCCCCCACTTAAGGAAAGGGTCTTATAAATGGTTACACACCAACAAAAAATCTTGAGTGTACTCAAAAAGTGGACACTAAATGTAAAGATAGATGGGAAAATATAAGTTGGAGGAAGTGTGGTTTCCTATTTTTGATGATAAATGATTTGTGGTCATGCTCCTTCACCCCTAAATTTAAGTGCCAAGTAGCATGAGTTAGGATAACAAAATAAAGGTGATTATATTTAGTATAGACACAAATCCAGCAGCCACCATAAAATGCTCAATACATTAAAATAGTCAACAGAAGAGACTACTGTTTTCTACTCTCTCAACTATGTCTTCAATTCAACTTTTATTAAGCACCAGCTTCGGGTAAGGCACTCTGCTAAGATTCTGGGTATACAAAGGCAAAACCAAAGCACCTTCAGTCGTCAAGTATTAATACCCTTCTCAAATGAAATCATATAATTTTGTGATTGTATTTTTAAAAGCTGATATTTTCACAAGGAATATTTTACATTTCCATGGATTGCACATAGTCATAATAATTCAGGCACTATATTCTTTCAAGGACAAAGAATAATACTCTAATGCAAAATTGTGTTGAAGAGGGAAGACGTAATATCAGAAACTCCTTCCATTTCGTTATTAGATAGTCACTTTTCCTTCATTTTTGTTTCTTTAAGCTATAGATGAAAAAAACTTTTTTTCCTTCTGCTTAATTTTTCTGAAGAGAATAACTTTTATGGAATTTTTGTCATTAATTACACAACTGTAAAAATAGGCTGCATATATCTTTGTGTGTATATAGCCATTCAGAAAAATTAACTTTTTAATTATTCTTGTCTCTTGGTAATGCCATGGAAAATTGCCCAGGTGTGGAGCTACTTGCTGTGTGTGACCTTGGACAATCACTTAATACCATTGAGTCTCAGTTTCCTCATCTGTAAAATTATATTAGAATAAGGTCTTTTCCAAGTGTAAATTTATGATCTTTTGGTTCTAACATACGATAAATATGTTCAAGTTAAAATTCCACAGTGGAAAAATATCCAACATTAGCCAGTCAATGTCTGACAAAGTCTTAAGTGATCAACTGGGGTTCATTACAAAACCCTAACTCTAGAAAGCATCTGCTTAAAGGATAAATGATTTAATTCATATCATATCAATCATAGCAAAGATATAATCAGGAAGGACACTCGAAATCAAACACAAAGTATGATCTAGTCAATCAGCAAGTATTTATTAAGTTCCTACTTTGTACCATGTGCTAGGGATCCAAGTACGAAGAAAGAAACAATTCCTGCTCCAAATAAGCTTACATTCAAATGGAAGAGGCAAGAAGTACACATAGAAATACACACAATATAAAATGAATACACACATTTTTATATAGTCAAATATTAGAGAGCATAGGAAGAAGGCCACTAGCAATTAGAGAGATGAAGTAAGGTTTCAGGTAGAACATGGTGCTTGAACTTTATCTTCGAAGAATAGAGGGACTCTATGAGGCAGTATTAAGAAAAGAGTACATTCCAGGCATGTGAGACAATTAGTGTAACGCCAGAGACATGGGAAATTGGATATCTCATGTGAGGAACAGAAAAAAGGCCAGTTTGGCTGAATCACAGAGTGTAGGAAGTTGTATAATGTCCAATGACACTGGAAAGATATGTTGGAACTATACTGCAAAGGACTTCAAAACCTGAACAGAAATTTATATTTTATTCTTGAAGCAATAGGAAGCCACTGGAGTTGATTGAGTAGGACAGTTACATGTTCGACTCTGGACTTAAGGAAAATCACTTTGACAGCAGTGTATAAGGGCAATCTGGAGTGGGAAAGAGATATGGGAGAGAGAACAATTAGGAGGCTATTCTAATAATTTAGGTGAGAAGTAGTGATGACCAGGACTAAGGTGGCAGCTGTGTGAGTGGAGAAATCAGAAGCAAGAGATGTTGTGAAGGGGAAAACAGCCAAGATTTAACAACTGGTTGAATTTATGGGGTAAGAGAGAGTGAGAAGGCCAACATAATGCCAAATTATAAACCTCAGACTCTGAAGGATGGTAGTCCTTCCATGGAAACAAAGAAGCTTGAAAGAGGGGAAAAGTTGAGAGGGATAGGGGAGAGAGGTAATGAATTCAATTTAAAACACGTTAAATTTAAGAAGTCTCCAAGACATATAATTTGATATGTCCAGTAGGCAACTGATGATGTGGGACTGATATGGATAATAAGCCAGCAAAGGAGGTTGAGGAGTGGTCAGACAGGTTTAGAGACAAACCAGACAAGAGTAGTGTCACACAAAAAACATCGAGGAAGAGCAGCTAAGTGGCGCAGTGGATAGAGTAGTGGCCCTGGAGTCAGGAGGACTCAAGTTCAAACTCAGACTCAGACACATAATACTCACTAGCTGTGTGACCTTGGAAAAGTCCCTTAAACCCAATTGCCAAAAAAAAAAACCCAACAAGGAGAGTATCCAAGAGGAGAGGGTAGTCACCATTGTCCAAGGCAGCAGATAGGTTAAGAATTAGGATTGAGGAAAGACCACCAGATTTGGCAATTTAGAGATCATTGTTAACTTTGAAAGAGCAGTTTCAGGTAAGTGGTGAGGTCAAAAGCCAGACTGAAAAGGGTTGAGGAGAGATGAATGGCAGCTAGTGGCAGATAACTTCCTCAATGAAATTTGACTGAGAAAGGGAGGAAAGTTATAGGTCAATAACTTGAGGGGATGCAAGGGTGAAGTGAAGACATTTTTAGCAATGGGGGACTGGTCATACAACAGGGAAAGAACCAATTAATAGGAAGAGGCTGAAAAATTAGCAAGAGGGATCACTGAGAATGAAATTTTCTGGAGAAGACAGGAGAGAATGGGATCAAGTAAACAGGTAAAGGGGTTGGTCTTGACAAGAATGACAATCTCTTTTGTCAGAGAGACTGGGGGAAAGGAGCAAAAAGTGGGAGATCTCAAGGATTTTTTCTAATAAAAAGAATGAGAAAAATGGAGCTCAATAGTTTCCATTTTTTTTCCATTAAATTACTTCTGAGGTGCTTTTGAGATGAGAGATAGGAGGAAGGAGACTGGGGTGGGGAGGAGGAAAGAGAACATTAGGAATAGTTTCTTAGGGGCAGGCAGTGATAGTGAAACAATTAGGGAGGAATAAAAGGACTCCCATGCTACAATGAATTTCCACTGTACCAAGTTGTCACCTAGCAGCAGGAGAATATTCAAGTAGGCGCAGCAACTACCAAGGCTAGTTAACATGAATTTGTAATGTACTCATTCAGCACATTTGCAAGATTTCATCCAGTTTCATTCAGCAGCTCATAAGCAGAAACAGAGGAAGCAGATGGTGGGGGTAATCTAGGGCTGAGTTTTAGCAAGAGAAAAGGGGTGCCAGATACAAGGAGTAAGAGATTCAAAGGCAGAGAAGAGTGTAGAGTTGAAATGGCTAATGAACTGAAGCTGGAGAGGGAGAAAAGTCAAAACTGGGGTAATGACCAGAGAAAGTACTGAGGAGTTAAGGAATGGAGATCTTGATAAGGCTGAAGAAGAAATACAGGAAAGATAAAGTATAGGTAGAGATGCAATGATACGAAGTTATAATCTGAAAGGGGAAGGAATGTCAGAGTTTCTAATTGGGGAAGTGAAACATTTGTGGGTAATGATGACTTAATCTTAATTCCAGGCATATCCACACTTGAAATACTCTGTGCTATTCTGGTTGCTTCATCTCAAGAAAATATTTAAACTAAAATTACCATAGAGATTATACATGGGAAAAGACTAAAGAAAAAATGGAATGAGAGGAGTTTCTTTTAAGTAGGGATTATTGGATCTGTGAATTTGGATAGGAAAAATAACATCTTTATTTCAACGTAATTCCATTGCTTTGTAATTTTATGTATTTTATTTTATGCATTTAAAAAGCATTTTCTGAGTGGTCACTAAGCTTCACCAGACTGTCTACCAAAAGGATGACATAAAAAAACTTAAAACTCCTGAGTTAGACCTTCATTTGAAAAAGGATTAGACTGAAGTTCATAAAATGATGAAAAGCACAGATATTATATTCATCACATTTTGAATTACTATAACGAAGACATTTTAAAGCTTGAAAGCAGTTTGGAAAACTTATGCATAAAGTAGAAAACATTCTGAATTTATTACCCTAATAAGTGCTACAAAGTAAAAATATTAAGTATATTTAAGGGTTTAAGTAGAACTATATTCATATCCATGACAGGTTAAAGGTTGGGAATATGTAGGATACATTACGACCTTCTAAAGTAGTCAGACAACAAGGACTTAAATGCTTAGTATGTGCCAAGCACAATGTTGCCCATGAAATAATATAATGGAGAGTACGTATACCATCTCCTAAGTCCTTTTAATTCATTCATTAGCATTTACTGAATGGCTACTATTTGCCAGGAATGGGTACTGGGGATACAATCCCTGCCTTCAGGAGTTTAGAATCTTGGGAAAGGGGAGTGAGTGACAGAGGTAACAACATCCCACAGAAGGAAAAGTCTCAAGCACAAACTCTATACAATAGAAATACCAAGTAATTTTTAGAGGGAGTACTAGCAACAGGGGAGAATCAAGATAGGATTTGTGCAGGATGTGACATGTGTTGTGCCTTGAAGGAAGCTGACAATTACACGTAGTATTCCATAAATCTCAGTGTAATTTTAAGCTTTAATACCTTAAAACTGAACTAAGATTTTTGGGACACCCTGTATAAGATGGAGGGAAGGAAGGAAGGAGTGAATTCTGAGCATGAGCGACAGCCTATGCAAAGGCACAAAGCCAGATGACAGAATCTCAAATGGCAAATGGGACAGAAAAGGGAGGGGGGGAAAGAGCATGAAGAAGAAGAATGTGCAATAAACCTAGAAAAGTAAGCTGAATTCACATTGTGAAGGAATTTAAAGAACAATCAGTACAATTTGTATTTTATCCAAGAAGTAGGAAAGAACTACTACGCTAGAAACATCTCAAGTAAGGGAGTGACATATTGGTTTGGCAGTAGTGTCTGTTGGATGGCTTGGACAGGCAAGATACTGGAGGCAGGGAGACCAATGATGAGTCTATCACAATAGCTAGAAGAGAAGTGGTGAGGATCTAAATGAAGGCAGTGGCCATGACAGTAGAAAAAAGGGTCAAATGTGAAAGCATTATGACAGTACAACCAACAAAACTTTGTACATCTCTGATAGACAAAAATAAGCTGAAGCACTGATCTTCCCTATATGGCAAGGATGCCTCATGTTCTTAATCTTTTTCTCTTTCAGGTATGGAGAACCGAATTTTGAATTACCAATCTTAGGATAGGAAGATTCAACCATCTGACCTACAGTTGAAAGAGCTTGTAAATCTCAATGTTTTCAAACACCCAGGGGAGAGAGAGAGAGAGAGAGAGAGAGAGAGAGAGAGAGAGAGAGAGAGAGAGAGAGAGAGAGAGAGTGTGTGTGTGTGTGTGTGTGTGTGTGTGAGTGACCACTACAAATGCAAAACACAACTTGTCTGTAACTTAGTTGACAGTCAATTCAAGAATTGCTACAGAAAAGTTCATCACCTGGTGGCCACACAGCTAGGTTGGTAATCAGACAACATATAGTCAATAAATATATACCAAGTGCCCCCTCCCCACAGTGAAATCATATCCATTATATTAACAAAGGCAGTAGGAATTATTTATCACCAGACCCAACATTAAGAAATAGCATTTATACAGTATTGCATACACAGTAGGTATTCGAATAAATTCCTGATGTTTGAGAATGATAACAATGTTGTTGTACTGGGAGTCAGAAGACCTTGGTTGTAACTGACATTCTGTCCCTGACCTTAAGTAAAGAAATTGACCTCTCTGGGAACTCAGTTTCCTCATCTGTAAAAGTAGTGGGACTGGAGGTTGAATCAAGTCTTTTGGATACCCCTCAGGTCTAGAATTATGTTTCTAATATAATGGTTAATACAGTATTTCCAAAAATTCTTCAGATTACCAATCCCTCTACCAATTACAGATCACAACCTCTATTACTGGAGGGTCCCCAAGAACTGCTATTGTTAGCAAGTACATCATTCAAAGGCCAAACTCAGCAATCATCTTCAGAAAACTTGGCTAAATTGGTCTATGGCTATGAAGTCTACCAGAAGGCGTACAAGTAAAGATTTTGTAGCTAGGTAGGGCCTACCAGAGCTCTGGCAATAACATAGCCATAGAGAACCCAATATCAGCTCCATGATACAATGAAGCATTAGAGTAGAACTTTAAAAAGGTGTCCAGTATTAGATTAGGAAATAACAAGAGCTCACAATAATGTGGTATTCTATGAAGCACTTTCTTCATATTATCCTCATTTTACATATGAGGAAATTGAGAGAAGTTAAGCAACTTGTCCACAATTGCACACCTAGTAATGATTAGAACTAACACTAGAACCCAGGTCTCTTGACAAAAAATCTAATGCTCTTTTCAGGCTATACAAAAATATATACATATTTTACAGTGCAAAAAGCTGAATATTTGCAAGCTCTACCCTAGAAAAGAGATGAATCTTCTGCAGTACATTTGCATGCTAAGGGTATATACCTTCCAATTAATACTCAATAGTTTAAAGTACACACAAGTCTACATAAAACAAGCTTATGCACCAGATAGATTTAGCTTCAGTCATTTCTGGGGTATTTAAAAAAAGTAATTGGGACATTTTAGACTCAATTATCAGAGAAATCCCACTTGTCCTTTTACTCCATGTACAATCCTACTTTCAGAGATTATACAATTAAAAACTCACACCATACTAATTTGAAGACGATGTTTGCAGTAGACAAACCATAAGGGAAAGCTTACGAAGCTCTTCTTTCAATTAAAGAACATAGTATATTAAAGAGCACATTTTTCCTATTTTTGTAACTTTTTATCTCAATTTTAACTGGTATCATAAACATGTTTTAAATGTACATTTTAATGACAAATTAATCCTCATTAGCCCTTATCAATGTCAAATATGAACTATTTCCAAATAAATTTGTTATAAATAGGCTTTTCTTTCAATAAAATATGCCTGTTTCTTACACATTGGTCAATTTATCTTGAAATGAATATCATCCTGTTTTATTTTCAGCTTTTAATGATTTTAGACATAATTTGTAAAAAGCTATTATAATCAAAAGACAATAAAATATTAAATAGCAGCATCAACAATCTCAACTAAAATCTTTACAAATGAAGATAATTAAATTTTCTAGTCATACAACACTCCCTTTAGAAAAGTCATCCCTCCAACTGTTATACAACTTTCTTTTCCTCTAAAAAACAGACTATAAGTGCGCTGAAAACCCACACAATACAAGGCAAAGTTCAACATGGGATATATTTATTATTTGCAATTTTCAGTACATCAGTAAAATAATTTTAGGAAGCATCTATTTTGATACATACTTTGAAGAATAAGATTATATAATTCCTGCAATTGAAAAGCAGAAAATTTAGCAATGGAGAAAAAAAGGTAAATTCACAAATTACTGTCTGTGTTTTAAATGTGAGCTTCTGGATAGGTCTCACACTTCAGTGACATGGTGGAGAATCGATCTACTTTTATATATATATATATATATATATATATATATATATATATATATATATATATATATATTTAAATTTCCTTGAATAGGATTCCTAATTTTATCAATTGAAAAAAAGTAGATACCTACACTTTGAGTGTATTCTAATGGTGGAAACAGAGAAAATACTTAATTTAACCTAAATTGCATTCAAAGCTTGACCCTAATTCAAGCAAGTATCTATTTAGCTACAAAGAATGGGAGTGCTTCCATATCATCCCTTCCCCTAGTAATTTACCATTTCAAGTACTATTGCTAACACTATTTAGACAAAGATGTGTTTGAGTCCTCAAAAGTACATCTTTTCCACAAGGAAATAAATGAACTACCAATTTCTTCCTGCTCTGATCTGAAATAGTCATTGATCTCTCTCTTACACTGTCCTTCTAAAAAAAAAAGTTTCCTTTCTTCTCAAGTTATTGAAAAGACCTTAGAATCTTATCCCTGTAGCATGTTTTTCAAAGTGAGGAACCAAAACAGAAGAATCTCCTTTTCTTATTGTTACTACTGCCATTTTCTTGGTCATTTATACCTCCCTTCTTGTACTAGCTCTTTTTTTCCCCTATCTTTTTTTCTACCATGCTCTTTATTAGCAGGGTAATAGTAATAAAAAATGGTATTCCCAATCTCACATTTCCTACACCTAGAAGACAAGAACTTAATAAATGTGATATAGTTACTGCTTACCAGTATAGAAATTCTTCCACCTTTTTGTTTGCTTTTTAAAGGTAAGCCAACAGTGTGGTAAAGGTGAATAAAAGAGTGGCAAAGTAGTAGACGCCATCAAAAGAAATTTGAGAGCTACTGCTCAGCTTCCTTTGGGAATGCAAGCAGTGATTCATAGGATTATAAATCTATAGAAGTGCAAAGGACTTCTGAGGCCATCTAATCCAACCCTCTCAGTTTACAGATGAGGAAACTGATGCCCAACGAGGTTAAGTGACTTGCCCAAAATCACAAAGGTATTAAGTGTCAGAGGCAAGATTTTTAAGCAAGGTCCTCAGATTCCAGAGACAGGGTTTTTTTTTCCCACCATACCACACTATGTCCTTTTGAAAGGAAACAAGAAAGTAAATGACCACCTATGCTTCTATGTAACTAGAATTAAATACTCTAAAGGAACCTAAGACTTTTTAGATTTGACTTCACTGGAAACCATGGAAATTATTTTTAGAAATAGTACCTTTGAAGAAACAAGTAGTTTCTTCAAAGAGAGCATATATATAAAGAATCCTCATGACAATTCTCCTAACTATAACCTTCCAAACGGCAAATTGAATTTCTAAAAACACACCACCTATTTTCCACTTTAAATTATTCTTTTTGTGTTTTATTGAAATACAATAAACAAGGTATCTCAATTTTTTTTGAAAGAATGGCATACAGATGAAAAAATATTTCTAAAAGTGAAATATATTCTAAAGGGTAGCCTCCTTTCAGTGCACCTTGGGCACACATTAATTTCTCTAATGAATTAGAAGCAGAAAACATTTACTCTGTTAATGCTGAAGTATTAATTGGAACATATTTTTGTCCATCTTTTTCAAGAGTTAATATATACCCAGTTTCATGCATATCAAAGAAATATGCAGTCAGGTGTAAGCAAGCAATAAGGATTCAGTGCAGACAAAAGCCTTAAAATACAGATTATTCAGAACAAAATTATTCTAACATTCTCAGCTAAAATAAGTGGTTAAAGTATGAAATGATTTTTCTCCATTCCCTGTGTCATCTTTCTCTATATAAAGGGACTAGTTTATCTATCAACACAGGGAAACAACTGTATCAAATGCCCTTAGGAACCCTGATTCACTGCTTCTACAGGTATCCCATTAGAATGAATAGTACAGCCTAGAGTTCTAGTAATACTCTCACTAGCTGTCTTTTGTTCATGTTAGCCTACTGTTATGTAGGTTACTGAAAATCAATTTGAATTAAAGTAACTCTCTTGGTAACCAACATTAACTCAGGAGACCATTCTAGGCAGATACGTTTTGGGATAACTACAGGATAAAATCAGAAGCAAAGTTTTACTAGATTTTGTAAGGTGATACTAGACCTGAGAAACGGGGAAAAGAAAGGTGAAGATACTTTATTGAAATATTTCTTTTAAGTTATTTGATTAAAATGGTTATATCCTTTTTAATCAATCATTTTCTGTATGATATCTATTATTGCATCAAGGAGACTACCATGGGGCAGGGGGAAGCTGTTTCTGAGCTGAATACTAAGAGAAGGAAGAAAATAGTAATGTCTTGGAATGCTGAATTTTCTTCTAAAAGTCTCATGATCAGTTAATATGAAACTATTTCCCTATATTCAATTAAAAATATCTATTAAAAAGACAACAAATACCAATTTGAGTGGGATGTGATAAGATAAGGAAGGTCATTTCACAACCTAATCCCACCTATCAAGGAACCAAATACCTTAAGATTAAGATGAATCCATGAAGCAATACAGCTTTCAAAGAAACCTATACTAGTATTTTCAATTAAGAGTTCAATAGAGCTTATTTCCTTACTGTAAAAGAAGTCAATCACTTGCATAGTATAATCATAAATAAATATTTTTGTACTAAAACATTTTCACACATAAGATAAGAGTATTTCTGAAAACAGTGACTCTGGCAACACAAAACACTATATAATCAGTTGGGAAATATTTTCCTAACTATAGTTTTCTTTCTAAAATTCATTTTAAAGCTAAAGTTTCAACAGGATTAAAGAAAGTGTTCAGAGATGCATTTTGTTTCCTAACTTTTAATCTTCACTACAGCCAAATGAGACTTTTGACTTTTAAAAAGAATGCCAACACAATCTAGGTTATGTCACTTTTCCTTCAAGTTTCTAGTATGAATATCATAAACACCAAGTTTTACACTGCTGATAATTTTATCAGAACTAACACAATGATAAAATGTTTTTAAAATTATTTTAGACATAAGAAATTAGCAATTACTGGGCAAAATAGTTTTTAAATTATACAGCCTATAAAACAGTACTACAGTTACAATAAAAAAGGTCTCAAAGGCAAAGCATTGGGCTTAAAAAAGTTTTCAAATTACTTGAAAAACAGTAGTCAAAAATTACATTAAGTGACTTAAGGTCTTGACACAAAAGAAATTTTTATCACTTGAATCACAGCAGAGACAAAGCAGAAAAGATATATGAATTTAGCCTAAAACATTCCAGTTATGCCACAGTATATTTTTCCCTTATGTTTTTCTTTTCTCTAACTGAATTATTTGCAATTTTTTCTATTCAACATTTGTATTAACTAAGTGCATATTTTTGCTAAAGAAAATAAAACTAAGGTTCTTCAAGAAACACACATTTCAGATTCCAAAAAAGAGAAAATTGTGCAGGATATAAATTTTAGTGTCTCCTTTATTATACAATACATCAAATACACTTAAGAGCTTCCCAAAATTCATAAAGAATTATTTCACTCAAGCCAAGGCTCAACAAAAGGGGAGAAATAAAGTTTCTAACTTTAGATGAAATTTTCCTGAATTCCTGGTAAAGTTATTAAGTTCAGATACTAAAAAGCCTCCAGACTAAGACATCAAGGTCTTGATCGTATTTAAAAATACCTAACCTTCTCTGTATGAGAAACTAAAGCTAAGGCCTTACAATTCCAGTTATAAGGTATAACATACCCTCATCTTACAGGGTTTTAAAAAGCCAAAGACTTTGGTTATTTAAAAAAGTTTCTTCTTTCAATAAGGGCAACTCTAATTACTTAATACAGTATATTATCAAAGGATGAGAAATGCCAGAATTTGTTGACTTATGCCAAGTGTTAGAATTTTGAGAGGCTTTTAAAGGGGGATGCACTAGAGTAATGATAGAGATGGAAAAATACTGGACAAAAAGTCTTCCAGCTCAAAATTAGAGTTCCCTACTGAAACTAACCCTCAAAAGTACAAATTAACAAACTCCCATGATTAATAAAATCTGTTCACTTTATATTAAGCCTCTACAGCATGATTATGGAATGTTTAAATCCTCTGGGAAACAAAGGAATCCTTCCTTGGTATTCCTGCCAGAGTTCCTAGCTCTATACTCAGTGGGCAGCAATTATTTTAACAGGTTCTGCAGCATGGCTGTTGCGTATGTAGGCCGAGCCTGTTTGCTTTCAATTGCATTCTGAAGATACTGGATGCCACCACAGCGTTCCCAAATCTCTTCAAACTGCCTGGGCAAAATCTCAGCACCACGCTTCCGAGTTAGACCAGTCTCTTCAAGATTTAGCTCGCACATCTCCATGTCATCCTTACCTATAAATTTTGGAGGCATATGAAAATCATAATACAATTTCAAAATGATTTAACATATTAAATAATTTGTATCCTCTTAATGTCCATAGTTATAGTACTGATTAAAAGTTATCCTTTTAGCACATTATGAAAACTACAATTCTCCCAAGAATTCCACAAACCTGGTTTCTCAGAAATAACAAAACATTCCAATAAAACACCAGATAACTTATCCACTATTATAAAGAGCTACATCATGAAATATTTGGTAATAACTAACAGCTCTATGGAAGGACCTTAGAATTACAGAATTTTAGAGCTAAGGATCTGTTAGTCCAACCCTATTACTTGCTACATGATTAAACTGGGACCAGGGTAGAGAAGCATCTTGCCTAAGATCACAAGCACAACTAGTGGCCGAGCTGAGGCTAGAACCCAAGTCTCCTGACTCCCAGTCCAGTGCTTTTTCGAGAACTCCACACTGCATCCTGTCCCAGAGTCCCAGACTTCTATCATCCTTTCAGTTCTGAAATTCCATAATTACTCTTATCTCATTAGATAGTGTCAAGAAAAATCTATCCTCTCAAATTTTCTACAGTAAAGGAGGTACCATTTTTTATTATCCTGTACAGGTTTCACTGTAGAGCAATCTACATAAGTTTTATTGTCTTTAGATATATAGATTTTGAAAAGTCTCCTAAAAAAAACCATCACTGCAAATGATAACGAAATTAAATCATAA